CTACTGCTGCTAGTACTAGTACTAGTACTACTACTACTACTACTACTACTACTACTACTACCACGACGACTACCACCACTGCTGCTGGTACTACTACTGCTCCTACTCCTGCTCTTGCTTCTGCTTCTATACTACGACTGCCGGCACCGCCGCCACCACCACCGCCACCCCCCACTACCCACCACCCACCCACCACCACCGACCACCGACCGTCACCATGATTCTTGACCACCCATATGCTCTTGAGTATCTCCGCCATTTCCTCACCACCGTGGTGACCATCGTCATAAGGGTATCGGAGTCCAAGAGCAGGACCTCAGCCTGCGGGCCGAGCGGATCTGGGTTCGCGGAGGCCAAAGGGAGGTATAGAAGCAGGGGATCGTACTGGCAGATGCCTTGGTCTGTACAGTCTCTTAGTTTCTCATGGCCCATGAGCATGCAGCAAATAGAGTAAGCAGGCACGCACTCTCGATGCATCCTTTTCTGCGCAAAGCATGAAAAGTTTAGGGCTTTACAAGACGCTACGAAGTGTTCGGGAGTGTCAACGGAGACGTTCATTGGCCGTGCAGTCGCAAGATCTGGCCCCGACTTTGTGCGATGATCTTGATTTGTGTCTTGTTAGTCGATGTTGCCGATTGTTCGTTGGTGGTGTACCGTTGCTTTGCTGCCGTTGCTGCTGCTGTTGTTGCCATTGAGCTAGTTGTCGTCGTTGTTGGTGGTGGTGACCGTGGCAGTGGCACTTTGGTTCCGGCGACGGTGCTGCTCATGACTGATTACTGATTACCGTTACTGGTTTGCGGATCTGATAGCAGTAGTTGTTATTGCCGCCTGCCTTTGCGACGTGCTCAGGAGCCCTCATGGCAGAGCCCTCTGCAGAAGAGGAGTCAAACAGGACCAGGTGAGGAAGAGTTGGGTTTGGATTGGTGAGTTTGTTCGGGTATCACAATGTCAGTGCCTGCAGATCCAAGGCCTTGCAGAGAGGAGCCCAGAATCTGGCGGGCATGACTTCAAAAGCAGTTTTTTGGCAACGAGCTGTCGTAACTCCTCTTAAACTAACTACTCGCAGGTGCCTTCAAGTTAGTTGATCCTTCCACAACCTCTTGCAACACAGTCGGAGTGACGATCCAGGGGCTTTGGATTCAAATTTCTTCAAGGCTGCAGTGGGAATTCCAGAACTGTTTTCCTAGTGGTTCCCCAAAACGGTTCAGGCCAGGCCATGTTTCGGGGAATTCTTGGGCAACGTCGGCCACTCCGTATCACACTGACTAGTTACGGACCCCTCCTGTTCAATTATAGTCACTGGAGGAAAGCGCTTCCCCGTCCCCCTAACAGTAGTCCGGACAAGATAAATGCTGAGATGAGTTGGCTGTCGGTAAGTTTCAGAGCCGACAGGCTTGAACGGCAGTCAGCGAACTTCTCGATCGTCATGACTCCGGCCCGGATCATGAATCAGGCCAGTACCTACGAAGAATCTCTGTTTCTGCGATCATCACCTCATGTGTAGTCTCCGTCCCTTTCAATCTATACTTCTGCTTGGGTTTCGAGATATTTGAGCTAACGATGCAAACAAGGTCAAGCCGGGCACCCGAAAACCCAACCGAAGAAAGTGGTGCAAGAATGACAATTTGCGCGACTTTGTTCTGTCGCGTCTGGCAATCTTCGAGTTGTGGCAGCCGCTGCAGTCGCATCGCCCGCGGACCCGATATTGTGTGGTCCCCGCCTTGTCCACGCCTCCCCCGCGCTCTGAACGAGAACCTAGCCAGGGGGTTTTGCTGGAGAAAGTGGCATCACAAGAAGGAGGCGAATAAGTCTGTCTGCGAAATCTTCGATTTTGGAGCCAGGTCACATCAGTTCCTGTGGAAGTTCCGGGCAACTCGGCAGAGTAGCGTCTGGCCCTGCACACCGGGGCTCCGTGAGTCTAGACTGTAGACTCTTTGAATTGCTGCCTGGTGTAGCGTCGCCCACCACGTTAGACGAGATTCTGGCGGCTCGCGGGGCAGACGCATGTTTTTGCTCGTGTGCTGCCGAAGAAGTTGCCAGACTGTCGGATATTTGCTAAAGGCACTGTGCGGGTGAGAAGCTGTACACTCGGATCAGAAGCAACAGCTCTTCGTGGCAAAGCAACACATGAACTAACCCAAAATGCAAATTGTACAGAAGTCCAAGCCACTAGACAGAGGAGCTACCAAGAACAGCTGAGCAAACGCACAACACTGCCCTACTTGCTTTTGTATGTGGTTTGGGTTTCGGATTCGGATGTGACATGCTGCGCTGCCCGGGTGCTTGACGAAAGCCGAGACTGGCATCAATCCTGCAGGAATCCTACATCTGCCACGGATAGGTTTGGGATTGGTTGCAGCCATGTCTTTGCTGGCTGGAGCATGCTATGTTGCATGCTCAGCATGGTGCAGAAGCACAATCATCCGTGGTCAGTATAGCGAGATGACATATCAACGAGTGTGTGGTTTCCGCTACCTAGGAGCAGGCACCTTGTTGACGAAAGGAGCCTTCGCTCTAAACCCAAGACGATTTCGAAGCACAGTCTAGGCCCTGTTGCAGTCATCCTCACAGACCCACGCTCTGAACTCGATAAGGAGTGCCGCGCTTCGGGCTCACTGTGACTGACCGCTTTGCGATGGATACGCCTTGGGCTTCCGGTCACGGACGTGGCACGATGGCAGTTGGGTCTTTGTGGGCTTTATCAGACCCTGTGGCTGCTGGATTCGGCTGTCTTAACCGAACGACTCTGCATGGCACTGCACGATGGCTTGTACTAGCTACTTCTTGTATGCCGCAGTATGAAGTCTGAGGGCTGCTATGTGAAGCACTCAGCAATGGGGCTCAAGACCTTCGCCCCAGGAGGGTCAGGGTTCAACTTCAAGAGGCTTTTGTTCTGAGACCACTTCGGATCAATTTAGTGGGGCTGAGGGTTTCAAGTCTTATACCCTAAACCCTAAACCCCTCAACCCTAAACCCTTAGCCCGAAAGCCCTAAACGCAAACCCCGCTGCTGAGGCCTCCTTCTTCGCGGTAGCAGCTCTCGCCTTCCGCGGGCCTCGAAGCTGGAGACTCCTGCAACCCACGGCAGCCATGTGCTCGGGCCCGGAGTTGCTTGCGCCTCCAGCTCCATACCAGCCAAGATCGGCTGACGTACGGTTGTGTGGCGAGTATGACGGGCAAGTCCGTGCGCTACATGGTACATCTTGCTCCCAGAGGTAGCAACAGTCAGTCAGGCTAGATCTCTCGATATTCTCACATGCTTCTTAAGCCTAAGCAGCTAGTGCTTCTGCTAGCACTGTCATCATATCGGCCTCGTTGTCGTCTTTGTTGCGAATTCGTCCGGTCCTGTGATTATCCCTTGTTCCCATTCTAAACTATTAAGCAGTCTCGGTAGTGTGGCAATTGTTGTTTGTTTTGAGACATGTCGGAGTTCACAGGTCTCCTTTGAATCGAAGCTTCATCGGAGAAGCTGGCAGTAGAGGGTCTCGCGAAGTGGCATCAAGAGCATTCGAGATGTGCGACGCACTGGGTAGCTGAGGGTACAGCGATGTGTTCGAGAGAGAGGAAATTATGTCCTTTTCGGTAGCAGGTAACATATCTACGACCTCTCAGAGTATTGATTACCCGGACTGTTTTCACATCCTGCCAATGCCCTGTAACAGATGCAGGGGCACCTTGGTGCCCGGAGATTGAACAGATCTCCTGTGCCCAATGGAAGAAGAGAGAGGGAGAGAACAACGACAGGGCTGACATGGGCTGACTAGAGGGAAATGAAATTAGCAGGCTCTGCAACCCTAAACGATAAACCCTAAACCCGAAACCCTAAACCCGAAACCCTAAACCCGAAACCCGAAACCCTAAAACCCTAAAAGGGAGGACAATCGCTTTCGCCAGGTGCTCAGGCTTGTCTCTGCCATCGACGTGGTGGTCGGGGAGCACGTCCTGGTCATGGGGGGTGCTAGGGCACCTGTAGAGGAGCATGTGCGCGCCTCAGAGGATCGTGCCCATCCACGTCCTGAGGTGATCTGTGACAAGTCGAAATGGGGCAGTTTTAAAGACCCGACGACCAGAAACTAAGATACCACGACAGGAATAAACCAGTTATCCATTCAGCCGTTGCGAATGTTTGGTCAAGTGTGGTCGCAGGAGTTTTGCTTCTGTCGGCTGGTGTTTTCTTCTTGTCAGCACTGCTGCTTTCAAAAACCTGTCGGGTGCGCCCTCGTCTCGCAACAGGTCGTTTCGGCCTTGGAGGACGATGGGCGCATGGTTGTGTGCCTTGGTCACATAGCAGTTTGTGTGCAGGGCTTCATGGCTGGCCTATGCCGACTTTGCGATAGCAAGGAGCCCACGGATCGAACAAAGAGCCCACGGATCGACCTCGCTCCCGGATCCCTAAGATCGACACCTCAGGACTTCAGGAACTCTGTGAGACTTCTCCCTAAGGCTGCAGACCCCTCTTCTGGCTGACCGTGAGGGTGGCATGAGGTGCCTTGGTTTCAGGGGATACGATTGGTGTGGTGTTCCAGCTGTTCTCATGAGTGCAAGCGTAGGCAAGCATGCAAGTAGCAAGGAGTGCATGTCCCTGTATTTGCTTTGCATGTGGTTCTGCATGCGGCAAAGGCATGCTTGTTGTGAGGTACGGCTTATGATATAAATCCTGCACTGCCCACAATAAGGAAGACCATAATTCCCATAGTCTAGGGTCCTTAAGGTAATGCAGAATTTATATCATCAACAGTATGAACACATGAATGCATGCGTGCCGATCTTCGATCTGTGCAAGCATGTACATGTGAGTATCGGTGTGTGTGTGTGTGTCGGCAAGTGCGCTCACAATTCCTCCCTTTGCCGTCGTGGTGGCAGTGGCAGTGGCAGTAGTAGTCGTAGTAGTAGTAGTAGTCGTCGTCGTCGTCGTCGTCGTCTTTGTAGTAGTCGTTGTCGTCGTGCTGGTGGTAGTGGTGGTGGTGGTGGTGGTGGTGGTGGTGGTGGTGGTAGTGTACAGCTGGTAGCAGCACTATCGCGCCCGCTACGACGAGGACGGCTAAAGCTCGGTCACGGTGACGTTGGAAGCAGTAGCAGGTAGAAGTTGCGGCATCAAAAGCAGTACTAGTCGCAGGAGCCTGACTGGCGTTGAGCAGAATGAGATCCTCAACTTCGGAGAGGCCACAAGATCGCAAGACTGAGTCCATGCAATGTTCGGTGAAGTTTGATATAGGAAAGCATGCCAGAAAACTAGCCCATTCATGCAGACAGCGTAGATGACTTATTGAATTAACTGTACCTCTGCAGCAGTTTCCATGGCTTTTGCTTCAAGATTTCTCGGGAAGAAGGAGGTCCAGAACCCGGTTCACAAGCAAAGCTGATATGCATCCTCGTTTTGACAGCCTTCAAGCCAAACCTTCATGGGCAAGGTTGACTTGGCTGCGACCGTGGCAGCAGCCAGTTCTGGGGCTCACTTCTACGGCGACTGGGAGGAACATGGCGTAGTAAAGGTGCGTTCCAGCTTCCTCGGATCCTTTGAGAGCTGCTTTTCTGTTCAGCAGTGCTTGTGGCATGACACCGATGCTGCTGTTTGACTAGTTTGTATTTGTAAATGCCAATTCACCTTTAACTATGGCGTGGCTTCGATCAGGAGATCCTGAAAAACTGATTCAGTAGCAGGGCGCCGCGATTAAATTGATTTGAATGTCCGGCTGGCCATCTTTCTTTGCTGCATGTTGGCGTGGTGTTGTTTCCCCTCAGAGCCCTCCATGCCCTAAAACATAGTCATGACCCCCGTCCCCACCGCCGCCACCACCACCAGAGACAGCAGCACCGTCGCGGCCGCCGCCAGCAGCAGCAGTAGATCGGTACTGTACCAGCATGCCGAGGTGAAGATGCTCACGGTGCTCACATCAACTGCCTCCGATCAGGAGGAACCTGCGGCCCGGGTCCTGGGGCCCGGGGTGAGGCAAGGAGTGAATTTCGGTCTCAACTTGCTGAGGCTGGGTCCATGCATGTTTTAAACGGAAGTCGAGGAGCTCTACGCCTGCGGGTTTAGGGTTTAGGGTTTAGGGTGTGCAACGGTCTGCTTGCTATGCATGGAAGAAGCCCCCCTGACGGCCACCATCACCCATGATGCACCCAAAGCCGCGCCCGGCTGTTTTGTGGTAGCAGCATGCAGTACTACTGCTGTGTTGTATTGGATTGTGTTGTGTTGTATTGCATAGTATTTTACTGCACTCTCTTTGCTTGTAGGTGCAATGCTAGATAGCAGATGTAAGACATCCTGTCGAAGCCATTCGGGTTCCGCCCCTCTTTTCCTGAGGCCTTGAGAGCTTGACGTTTGGCGCTTGCGGCAGCGTGTCTCCAGGACCGGGGTGCTCAGAGACCGAGTGGATTAGGGTTTTGAATGTGGACTTTTCAATCGAAGCACTAAATTCGCTGAAACTTGCTGCGGGCAGCGTTTGCATGCGTAAGCTTGTGCTGTAGATTGGAGACATGGAACTCCAGCAACCTCACAGTAACTTCTTGCCGGCTGCTGGATGGTCTGCGGGGGGACGACGCTTCTGCCAGGCCTTGTCTAATATCCAAAATCAAAATCCCGCATATTGCGTCCTTCATTGGCTCGAGGAAGCGGTGGCGTGCCCTGCGCAAATCTCAAAGCTCTGTACAAGCCAGAACAAGCCTTCGCAGCTTGGGTGCAAGGGCTTCGGGCATTCTTTAACTTATTTTGTTGTTCCATTCTTGCCCTCCAATTATCTGAGTGTGTGGCACCGTTGCGGTGCCAGCACCTGCTGCTTGTGAGTACCACCGCTGAGGGTCCCTTGATGAGGTCCGGCACTCCTTGGTCCGCAGGCCAGCGGGGCCTGGCTTGATCCTCCAGGCACCTGGGGGCCATTTCTGTGGGTATCGTCTTGCTCTTGCGCGCCGTCTGTTGCACCAGAGGCGGGCCTGGAGGAGACGTCCCTTGTGGCACAGAACATCTTGGTGATCTCCTCTGTGGGCCCAGCCATCACGCTGACAACGAGGCTTCAGGGTCGCAGTGGTGCGCCGTTGTTTTGGCCCTTGCCGTTCGTGTGTTCGTCATCTTTGGATTCGCCGTCTTGGGCGTCGTTGTGCTGGCACTCGTTCTGATGCAACAAACGCGACAGCAGCGGCAGCAGCAGCTCGTGGTAGAGGTAGTGCCAGCGCTTAGTGACAGTGGAAGTGGTAGTGGTTGTGGCGGCAGCTGAGGGGCATTGGTAGTGGTGGTAGTCGTGGCCGTCGTCGTCGTCGTCGTCGTAGCATTAGTAGCACCAGGAGTAGGAGTAGGAGTGGGGGCGAGTAGGAGCAGAAGTAGTAGTAGTAGTAGTAGTCGTCGTCGTCGTAGTAGTAGTAGCAGCAGCAGCAGCTGTAGCAGTAGGGGTAATCGTCGTCGTCATCGTCGTCGTGGTTGGCGTTGCAGTAACAGTAGTCGTCGTCGTAGTGGGCGTCGCAGTCGTCGTCGTCGTCGTCGTCGTCGTCGTCGTAGTGGTAGTTGGAGTAGGAGCAGGAGTAGCAGCAGCAGCATCAGCGGACGAGGGCGACGACGACTTCTAGAACCACTATCGCCATACCTTCTTGCTATTTATCATTTTCAACACTATCCCACTGCTGCCACTACCGCCCCCCCGCCCCCCAACAAACTATCACCACTACCGCCGCGCTACTCCCGAAACTGCTGTTTTGACGATGGTGACTGCAACTCCAAATACTGCAACTCCGGCTACATAGGCTACATATGTACGAGCGGTGGCGGGTAGGTGAAGCTATGTTGATTCGCATCATTCGTGCTACGACGCCGTCTTCGTCGTCGTCCTCCTCCTCATTCTTCTCCTCCTCCCGCCCCCTTCCCCATGCCCCTCCTCATCCGTGTTGTTCCTGTGCTGATGAAGCCACTGCTAGGTTGAGTATGCTTTCGATAACTTGTCGGTCCCCGAAGGGGCGCGGCGGCTGCCAACAACACGGAGTCCTTGACGGTGCATCACAACCAAGTGGTCTCACCGCGACGGCAATCCGACGGCAGCTGTTATCTTTGGGGCTCTTGAGTCGAAAGTTTCTGCAGGAATTGGGTAGCGGCACAAGAATCACCACCGTTCGCCTTCTGGTGCACTTCGGATCTCGCAGCAGGAAGCTCTTTTGTCCGAGGTCCGCAGTGGGCTTGCCCTTCTTGCGACAGACCGTGGCTTTCAAGATCATGACCGGAACTGCGGCCTACCGTCACAACTTCGCCACAAAAGCAGAGGCGGGGTTAGGACAGCGACCAACTTCTTGAACATCACACCTCTTGCGCCCTCGACACCAGGCATGTTTCAGCTTCGAGCCCAGAGAGGACTCGGAGCTCGTCCCTCGAAGCCCCCATTTGGTGGGCCGGGCACCCAGCGAAGCTCCGGTTGAAAGTCTTCGTTTCGTTAAAGGGTTTAGGGTTTAGGGTTTGGGTTTAGGGTTCCATTAGGATCGGGACGAAAAGGCGGACAAGTAAAAGCCGACACGCATGTCATGAGGGTTCGGCCTTCGAAAGCTGAAGCTCTCGACTTAAGCTTGAACCCGCGCCCAAGAAGTCTCCAGAGACTCCAAACTTGACTTCTAGTCTGCCTAGGCCGGCAGTCTTCCCGGTGGTCGTTGGTGGCCTTCGAGGGAAACGCCGCGCATGACTGCCGCCGGGCTTTAATGGAGAACGGCTCACTGCAGCTTGAGATGAGGGATCGCGCAAACTCAGGCTTATATGGCCTGCGAGTCCCACAAGAGCTGCGTCAAGGCAACTCTCAGGCGAGCTGTTGATATGTCATGCTGCAGGAAATTCTGTGATTAGCTGACATTACTTGTTTACATTGTTGCCTAGTGCAGTTCATACTGTGTTACACCAGGTTCAAGTCTTGCTTCTGGCACCTAACCACGTGGTCGTGCTAACGGCGAGCTACATGTCACAGAAGTGTACTATGTCGTAGTGGACGGCAGGAAATGTCTAGTTTTGTATGTCGGCGTAGCATGGAAACTCGTATCGTGCTTTGTGGTACTAGGTTGCGCTTGATTTGTCGCATGTCTCGGGTTGAGGGCTTGGGAGAACGGGCTTTGTCCCCAGCTTCTTGGTTCGGCACTTGCTCAGCCCAGGCGAGCTGCGGGGAACAAGGCATCACCACCGTGAATAATCTACTTTCAGCAAAATCAGAACACGTCGACGTGTGGAATCATAGGAAGAAGGGAAGTGCCTATGCATGGTCGCAATGCAACAAGCAGCCAATCTCGCACATGTCAGGTCTTTACCGACTTCACGGTCTTTGCCAGTCAGTATGCCTATTACGTCCGTGCCTGTGACCGCTGCCGTCTGGTGAACTCCGCGTGGGTGGAGACGACGGCTGGCGTCTACGATGAGGCTCGGGATTGTTTGCGTCAGATCGCTTTGTGGCCATGACACGCATGGAACAGGACTTCGATGCCTTGGTAAGTCAGCTGAAGTGGTCAGATGGAGTGCTGCACTCGTTTGACGACCCTGACAGGACTCTGCACCTGTGGTCACTGATGACCCATGGATTGAGAACCTCGGCAAAGTCTGACACTGCGCGCGAGAGAGGGAGAGAGAGAGAGAGAGAGAGTGAGTGATGGGGGAGCCATATCTTTTTCAGAGCTCCGACTGTTGTNNGGGCCTGACAAGCCTCCTGAACCCCGAAGTGAAGTGAAGTGAAGTGAAGTGAAGTGAAGTGAAGTGAAGTGAAGTGAAGTGAAGTGAAGTGAAGTGAAGTGAAGTGAAGTGAAGAGAGTGAGTGAGTGAGTGCCCAACAAACACTGGGGGGCCCATGCGGCCAGGGGGCCTGACACGCTCCTTTGCCCCTGAGGAAGAAAGAAGAGAGAGAGCGAGAGAGAGGCTAAGGGGCTTGCCGCATGCCCATCTTGCCCCTAGCCCTGGCGAAAGAAAGAGAGAGCCCCCATACCTTCCGGTAGTCGTAGGTCGTATCCACTTCGGCAAGGAACGTGACAGCCGTGGGTACTCGCTTCCTGCCGCAGTGGGCCAGCGTAGCCATGGAGCCGCAGATTACACTCAGCGCACGAGAAGGACTGAGCTGAGGGCGAGTTCGGCAGTGCAGGCCGGTAGCCAGCGATGTCCCTATCCTGTAGTGTTATACTCGTACGGAGGTCGCCTAGGGCGGAGATCGTTTCGTCCCGGTCAGCGTCGCTCCGAAGGCCGCCGTTGTCATATCAGGACGACGTCTTCGCAACATCACCTTCTTCCTCTTCGGCAACAGCCCTTGCTTGCCAGGGCCCTTGAAGACTGCGAGCCTCCACCATGACCACGGTCAGGATCGCTGTGTAAAGACCATAGCCGCGGATGTCGTAATTTCCAATTTCAAGCTTACGTCGTGGCGAGTGTTTTGACACTTGTAGTCATTTGTATTGCTCGTGAAATACACGAGCGTTGGAGCGTTCGTGAAACCATCCAGCACATGTTAAGTGAACACATAATGTGGACACGCAGATGCTAGATTTAGAGTAGCTCCAAAGTGCATTATCCATCTTGCTGGCTCTTTGTCTCCGATAAACGGAGGAACGACTAGCCCTCACAGATTCCTCATGATTCCTCCAAATTCACTGGATTCCTGCGGTGCCTAGAATCAGGCATGGGGGCGAGTATCCGGTGACGATCCGTGTGGAGAAGCTCCACTTCTATCGGAGCCTCGTGGAATCCTGAGCTGTGGGTCGGTAGATCATACCTTTTGCCGCTCCTTTGAGCCGTCTAGAAGCCTCAGTCCGGACTACATCCTGAGCTTTCCGAGGTCGAGGTTTACACGGCGGGCGCAGCTGGGTGTCTCGTCGGGGAATCTCAAAGTGCAAGCGGCGGAGTTGCGCAGTTTGTGATCTTGGGTGGTCTTGGGTGTGCTTCGGGGCGAAAGTCCAGGCAAGGTGGACCGTGGACCTGAAGCCCTGGCTCATAGGTGTGCGAGGGCGAACCTCTCACCACATCCGCTGCCCAGGTATGGGATTTTTTCAGACCTGGATGGCTCGCTTTCCGGATATGTGGGAGGCGAGGAAACAGAAAAGTTCAAGATGCTGCATGACATCATCATTTCTAGGAGTTCACGGCGACCACGGGTTGGTGCTTTCGCATTCCTGAGTAGTGCGGTAGTGCGCAGGTTTTTTGTTGCCTCCTGTCAGGTTCCGTGACCGGCGATAAGTTGTACAATCGCCACTCTGCCTGCCGCAGCGTGGGCACGCAGGCATATCGATAATGTCAATAACATGCGAAGGGCGCAAGGTGAGTAGCCAGGGAAGCATTGACCCATGCGACGATGGGGTCTGGCCGTGGGAAGCGGACGGCCATCGTGCAGGGTCTTCACATCATACATATGGTTATACAGCTATACATGAATAATGTCAATCGTTGCATGATTAACTATAGCTGTAGCTCTATGGACAAGCATAACAACAAATAAGCTAGTAAACAGATATAGAACTAACAGCTATATAATGAGTAAATGCCAATTACATAACGAATAGAGGAACAGATAAATGTACAAATAAATTTCAGCATACGTACATACAATATCTATAATATCTCTCTCTCTCTCTCTATATATATATATATAGAGACATACAGCAAGGTCAGCATGCATATTCGTCTCTGCGAGCCTTGCGGAGGATTTGAGTCTGCGACTCCTCTGTGACGCGAGCATCTTCATCAGGCCACTTCATATCGCAGGCAGGAGCTTTGGCTCAGGCCTTGAAGTGTCGGAAAGCCCTTGAGCTGCGGGTGAGGGCTTCGAGACCTTTCGAGCAGAGCAGGAGACTTTCAATCAGGTTGTAAGAGTAAGTAAGACCCTAAACCCTAAACCCTAAACCCCTAAACCCCTAAACCCTAAACCGACCCTAAGCACTTACAGATCCCAGCGCCTAGCAGGCATAGAGCCTGCAGAGCTTGTGGGGCGCCTTGGCAGCCTTGGCCCTTGGGACCCTTGAGACCGAGTGGCTGAGCCCGAAGGGGCAGGTTCCGTATCTAAACCCTAAACCCTAAACCCTAAATCCAATTATTCGGAAGCTCCAGCTCAACAAATGTTGTATAACATGCCCCAACGCCTTCCGCTTCGGCATTTTCAACGGCAAGCTTGTAATAGCAGGAGTGCTTGATTTTTTGGGGCAGTCTGCATCAGACGCAAGTCTTCTGAGCTCAATGTAGCCCAGGAAAGACCTTGCGGTGTGGACGATTTTCGGACACGGCAACGTGCCCTACCGCGAAGGCTGGCACATGGCAGTGCCTTGACTGCACATGACTGCACCGCTTTCTCGAACCACCACCCTCTTTAGGACTAGAAGCGAGGAAAATCACGAAGATGGATCTACACTTATTATGTAAAGTGCTGTCATGGCAGGTAACCTGCAGAACCAGCGCCTGTACTTCCAGGTTTGGACACCCAGAGCGCCAGCATCCTGAGCTTAAAAACCTGGGCCCCAAATCCTCCAAGATCCTAAGCCTGAGCCCAGTACCGAAACTCCAGGCACCCTAAGTCCTGCAAACCCTAAACCCTAAACCCGGTGTAAGATCTTGAAGCCATTCAACCTTGAAGTCCTGAACTCGCAGCCCGTAAAGCCAGGTCATCTCGGCGAAGTTCCAGGATCAACTCGTTTGGCCGACCCGCCGGTGGGCCGAGACCGGGCCGACCCCCATCGAGTGGCGAATGCTGCCCTTCTGGTACACGCTCCTTGTCCTTGCATCGGGGCTTTAGGGAGTTTAGTGAAAGTCTAGTGTGTTTTAGGAAGTCTTAGGCTTTTTTTGAGGCTCGGGGTTGTGGCTCTCGGCTGAAGGATCGTCTCGGGACCGCCGGTATTGGATTGTTGTGGCCATAACTTTGATCTGGCGGTAGGGGTATGATCATTGCCATGATGAAGAAGGAGGACAAAGAAGTTTGACGTGACGGTGTCGATAATCATCATGGTGCTGCAGCTGCTGCTACGTCTGCAGATGCTGCTGATTAGGATGATGGTGGTGGTGATGATGATGATGATGATGACGGTGAACGTTCATGACTCCAACAAACGTATGCAATCGTTGCTGCTGCCAATGGCTCAAAAGCCATTGGCAGCAGCGTCGGATTCTTGCCCGAACTTGGACCCTGCGGGTCGAAATTGAATCATTGGCGCTGCTACGGTGTTGTGCGCATCGCTGGCCATGAAGAATCCTACCTCCGTACTGCTGCCCCTGCTGGGCGACCTCCTGAGTAAGCCAACTGAAGCCTTGTGTCAGCTCTCGCTGAGGCTGCGCCCAGACAGTGACTTGGCAGCATCAAGCTGAACAAGATGGCAGGGTGGCCGGGTGGCCTTCCATCGCCCTCGGTTCGGTCGCGGGTTGGGCACAATTCTACCTAAACCAAGTCTACCTAAGCTGGTGTTCGTTAGGGAGTGTCTGTCATGTTGGAGCCTTGTCTCAGGCAACGTCGACTTTCAGAAGATGCGCGTCAGTTTCGGCTCGCCCGGGCTGATGTTGGCCACGGAGTGGGTTGGTATGCACTTCCCGTGCTTTGCCTAGAAGTGAGAAGGTAAGGAGCTGCCGTGCACTTTCTTTAGAGTCCTGACGACGGTCGTGACGGGGAAGTGCAAGCGCTTACAGCATAAACCGGGGGGCAAGGGGTCATGTGTCAGGGTCAACTCGAAGGTACAGCTACTCTCCTGTGCGGCGGTTTGAGTCGTCCGGCATCTCCGGATCTTGCTTCGAGCCTTATTTTGACTGGCTCGACCGTGGCGGCTTGGCAGCGTGGCTGTTCGCATAGTTCCATCGTTTCGTTTCGCAACCCTGGGCTTGCCATGGCTGAGGTGGGTACAGCCTGTGGATTCCGGAGGTTGTCTTCACATCAACTGTCACATCCACCACCACCTCGAGTACCAGCACCACCCTCACCTCGATCTCCTTCACTTCCACCACAACCTCTCTCTCCTCAAGCTCCTAGGCTGCAGCCGACACGAGAGATTGCATTTCTCAAGTCCGAATATGTTGGCCGCTCAGAGATTCCGTGATTTGTGACCTGTGTAGCAGTACGTGTTTTGACTGAGGTACCAGCACAGGCACCACCACTGCAACCGATGAAGACGACTTCAACGACACCAACGACACGAATGACACCAACGACACGAACGCAACTACCGAGACGTCCACACAAACCACGACAACTAGCACTTCTGTGACCGCGACTTCCAGATTCTCGGTCGCAGCAAGTTGCGCTGCAAGTGTCGTCGGTCCAAGATGGCAACATCCGTTGCAAGCCTAAGTTACAAACCGTCCCATGCTGCGTGAGCACGAGCTTTCTTTGCTATGAGCACGTGCTGCGTCTTGACAGGCTCCACAACCTCGGGAACACGAACTTCTACAACTTCAACAACTTCCTTGTCAACAACTACCATCACGCGCACTACAACTTCCCGCACTTCAAGCACCACAACCACAACGTACTTAGGCGCCAGGGTGCCTGCTGGGCCCATCTGAGTATTTACCGGTTGGATTGGAGTTTTTCGAAGACATGTGGCCGTGCTGAGTGCACAGTGTAGAGAATCAAGCAGTGTTACATGGAGCCACGTAGTGGTAGCTCGTAATCTTCCGAATCCCACATTGTCAGAAATGAGAACTTGGACTGTGCCACGCTGCGACCTTGCTCTTGCTGCTACGCTGCTGCAAGAGTTGGCAGGAGGCAGTCAGTACCCAGTGCAGCATGCGGCGATGTACGTAAGTTGCAGGCACACGGACAAGCACTTCGACCGAGACAACGATTACCATGACAACAACGACCACCAGCACCTCAACCACAATCCCACTGGCAGCGCCACTGCGGGCCCTGAACATCTTCCCTGAGCCTCGCTTTGGCTACTTGGCTTAGCTTGGCTTAGCGAGGCTTCGCTTGGCTTGTCGGCTTGGCCTAGTGGGACAAGGGGCCAGAGGATCGGAAGCGTCTGGAGCCGCAAAGGTTGTGCAGCCCTGTCATTTCTCTTCGAGATGTGCGAGAGGCAGGCTGTCAGCTCTCTTCTGCATCGGAGGTGTACTGAAGGCTCTAGGTTCAAGAAGTGCTCAAAGCCTCCTGGAAGATCTTTGGGCTCGGGATAGTCGAAAAGTGCATCCAGTTTGAGGCTGAGAGGTCCGTGGTGCTTGGGCGACTGCAGACACGCTTATGATCTCCTAATCTGTCAACATACATGTAGATGGCAAGCTGCTACAATGTTCAGAATGGAGTCCTCAATCCGTCTGGATCCTGCTGCTCTGTGCACTTCGTTCCCTTTCAGTTGGGTTTGGCTTTCCGGCAGGGCTTCCGGCCTGAGCTTCGGCCCCTGCATGCCAAATGGGCCGGTGATTGGCTGGACCAACCGGACAGAAATGGCGCACTGCTTGCATGGTCTAAGTCTGAGCATTTTTTTTTTTTTTGGAAGGGGGGGTGGGGGGAGAGTTCAGGCTTGCACGGTACAGGGTTTTCCCTGCTGTTGGAGTTAGGCGTTGGTGCTGTTGCCTGCATGATCGGGTCAAGAGCGCTTGCGTGCATGAGCATATCTCCTCTTCTTACGGGACATCTCGTTCTTATTTGGAATCTCTACCAGATAGGATCTATAGCCGCTCCTTATCTTCAGATAGATAAATACAAAGTGCAGACTGACGACGATGAAGGAGGGGTGTGTCTATCCATTTTTTCTAGATGTATACAACCATCATACATGCACATGTGTACATGCAGACGATTCTCACAGCAGGTTTTCATTTGTTTATCATCCAGGCCAGGCGTCGCTTCGCGCAGGTTGCACCGCTGGTTAGTTGGCCCCCCCCTGAGCCACAGGTAAATGCATCGCTGTTCGCGAATGGGACATTGAGCATGGTGTGGCCCGGCGTAAGTGGGTTTCGAGCTGCAACGCGCGTAAGGCAAGTCCCCGGCAAATCCATGACTGGAAGTGCTCCGCGCGCTTGTTTGGCTTATCTCAGTCTCAACCTGCAGCTTCCGAGGATGGGTAACCGTGAGCAAGGGAGCTACCAAGATCCGATGGTGGCAGACCTGGCCACCCGACGGCAGGATTCGGGGCTTTTCTTCAGAATTCTGGGATTTCAGTGTCCTGTCGCTTCGCTTCTCAGGTGAACACCGGCTGCGGAGAGGGTGGCTGTGCTTTCTTCGAGGAGGCCAAGTGGGCCGTATCAGGGCCTAAAAAAACAAAGTCTGCGAATACCAGGAAATTCTGCAGCTTCTTGCTGATTGTTGGCGTCGCCGTCTGCCACCGCCACCACCAGTTCTGTTTGTGCCCGTGGTGTTGCCTGCAGCGTGCGGTGGTGGGCAGTTTCTGGGTCCAGCTGCTGTTCTCTGCCAGGCGCGCGTGGTCATGGGCCCACCCGGAAATTGGACATTGCCGGAATCATGGCCAGGCAGGGAGCACCGAACAGCTACTTCATCGAAATGGCAATTGGCAATTGTGACAGTATCCGGCTCGAGAATAGCACACCAGGCTGGACAGCTGGAGCCTCCAGACCTAAGCTCTGCGCTTTCCGAAACCCTTAGACTGCGTCCCTTGCCTGCCTTGCCTGCCCTGCCCTCCACGGAAATCTTTCGAAACCGGAGTCCTTTGCGCCTGCCCCCCTCCCAGATATAGCATTGCCCTAAGGGTCCAGGTATATTAATTCGCCGTGAGCTCGCCCAAATACTTACCGACAAAACAGACTACTAACCCAAACCCAAGTAACCCAAGTACTTAGATTTCTAGGTCCTTTGGACCCCTGTCGGGTTAGGGCTCCAGGATGAGGAGTTGGGTTGAGCGGCCTGAGCCTTCAGACTCCCCAAAACCTGAACTAAGGAACGTAAAGGGATCCTTAGTATGATCATGTAATCATGTGCGATGAGCAGGTCGGTTCATCAATCTCTGAGTATCCTAAGTCCTAAGCCCACAGGTCGAAACTTGCCACAGGGAGTGGAGACCATTGTGGTGCCCGCCTCAGTGCTTTCCTTCTTTGTCTCTGTTCATCTTTCTGTCCTGCTTTCTTTCTTCCCTTCTTCTGCGATTAAAACATCTTTCACACTCTCTAGCATCATCTGTCTCTCTGCCGACCGATCAAACTAGTTATCTACGTAAGGTTTGCAGGATTTCTCGTGTTCGGGCAAGCGATTGGCCTTGAACCAGTAGGTATGTGTTTACCATGCAACCCTCGGATACCTTTGCCCGACAAGAGGATCAGACCGGTTGCCGTTTCTTGTGCAATCAGAACATTCCGCCCTACTACCACATCGTTTACAACAACTTCACGGCCATCGGGCCTGTTCCTTGGCCGCGATCTGCGAGTCGGCATATTATGGAGGCAGCGGTTGAAAAGGGGAGCTGAAAGCCTGCGTAAGCTTTGAGCCCTGCCTAAATGCTCATCATCATACGTGCACCATAATCCCGTCCCGTGTACCTCCGGGCTTCAAGGTTGGCGACCTAAAGATCCACGGGAAGCTGTCCTTGGCTGAATCTCGACCAATAGAAGCTAAGTCTTCCAGGTCCAGGGTGCTTGAACCAGGCATGTGAAGTCCCAATTGCAAATCAGGAAGAGGAGGGCCTCAAATTGCTGGTGAAGTCCATTCAGGTCTTTGCTGGAGGCCTGGGGCTTTCTGATTCCGAGTTTCTGGTCGATTACTGCGCGTCAGGCCAGTTTCAGGTTGGTACCTCATGGGCGCCTCACAAGACCACGGCGATTATTTCCTTTTGGGGGGAGCCTTCGCTGCAGAAATGCGTCCTTTGCAACGGATGCGAGGAAGTTGTAGTGATCGCGGCCGGGTCTCCTGGGCACGCATCCAGAATTCAAAACGAGACCTCACGCTTCGGGCACTGAAGCTCCTGAGGCGACTTTCGACTCCGACCCGGCTTACATTTCTCTAAACCTGGATTGGGGCAAGAAGGTCTTCGGAGTTTACGAGGCCACAGCTAGCACCCGTAGCCCCGTGCTGCATCGCTGCTTTTCTCCTCGCGTTTTCCCTACGCTCGCTACTTTACAAGTTCTTGGGTATCTGGCTTGCCCATGATGTAGTGTGTTGCGGGGTTGAGTGCGTGGGTTTGGACGGTTTGGCTCTGGGGTTTGCGGCGAGGTTCTTCTGAAGGTATAACATGAGGCTTCCAATCTTTTTACCAACGACCTCGTGGAACACTCCGGGCCTGCTAGATGTCCAATACGAGACAGTGTCACTGGCAATACTTGTATGCATTTAACATTGCTCATAGGAATACACACACACACACACACACACACATACACACACACACACACACACACACTCCACAGACGGAGCGAAGCCTCACTGAAAAAAAACCCTTGGCCCCTTTTTGGACCGAAGCGCAAGCGGAGCAGGGCAACGTGAGCCTCCACGGCCGGCCCTACACTCGCGTTTGGGGGGACCTCTTCGCCCCGGTTGGGCCAGGAGACCCCTGCTCGATAAGAGAGGCTTTGGGGGATGTTTGGGGCTCTCAGCTGCGGTCGGGCTCGAATCCTCTGCGCTTCGGGGAGGTTCCCCGATTCCACCCCCTTTAGAGATTCTGTTTTTTGAAATCTTGCGCCAGAGGAGACACCTTCATCCGAGCCGGCTACCCAGTACAGATGTCACAAGACGTTCACGCTGTGCTGGGGTCGTTGGTAAGAACCAGCGGCTATACAGGGTCCGCCGTGGAATTGGCGCAGAGTTTCGGTCTGCTGTTCGGGTACGTGTTCGATGGTGAGCCAAGCAGATGGAAGAAATAGCAGCCTGCAGCACGACAACCATGAACCGTCGGCCAGGTCCAGCAGGACGTGGGCGATTGGCCAGTAGGTGGCGAGATCCTCTTGACGACAAGCGAGTACCCCAACCTGGATGGAAGCGCCGATGGGCAGCATCCGGTGTACCCTAATCCTGTCAGGGTAATTAAAGCAATGCTCGCAGTGGGAAGCCGTGGAATCTAAAGCCGCTTCTGCGAACGAAAAGCGGATCCCACTGCCCCTGACCCGAAGTCGTAATGCCAGCATCCGAGTCTGCTGGGCAAGGATACCCACACCGAGCGCCGCATCATCACAAGCATCGTCTTCTATGCGCCCTCTACGGAAACTCTGGATTAACAGGGCGTGTCAGTAGGGATGCAGGACATGCATGCATGCTCACGCAAGGGCAGACAAGATTCTGCCACAGCGCGCATGTTCTGGCCAAACAGATCTAATGCTGCTGAGGAAATCACCATAGACCGCCCGCTGGAAAAACACCACTTCGCGGGCGAGGCGAGTTGGAGAAGCATGACATCTTTACTTGATACTGGGTCGAGTCGATCGGTACCTGGATGTGGCCCAACCGGACCGAAATGACAGAACCCTTCACCCCTGGACACAAGCTACAATTTGTTTTGTTGGTTCGCATTCGTCTGCTGCACCTCGGGACGAATGGGTGGGAGGGCTCGTGTAAAGGTCTGCAGGCTGAAATCATTGAGAGGTCTTTCGTTGAGTCGAAACCCACAACGGCTGGCATGCTTGCGGTTGTAGGGTCTAAGCGCTGCTGCAGAATCTTCTCCAGACCAGGTCAGGGACCTTCAGATTCTTACGCATCGAGGCTTCAGGGAGGCTTGGATTCTTTGCAGATTCGCAGCCAGGAGTTGGACCAAGTTTCACAGACGTTAAGGAAGCCACTTACCACTATTCCCACTTCTTCAGAACCCGGGAGTGTCTGCCACTCGCCACTCCCAGCCATGTCCGAAAATAAAATGAAGTGCTAGAAGCTAAACTGCCGAAGGCACAGATTCTTAATTTGTTGGTCTGCTTCCAGGCAGCCCTGGAGGCTAAGAGTGCCAGTGCCCACTTTCTTCGTGTCAAGGTCTGCTACTTCGAATTTGTATGTATGTTCAGTCCTTGCATGGAAAGGTTGAGAATCTGAGGTTGAGCAAAAGGCACACCACCCACAGGCGAATTATCGCAATACGAAGGAAGATGTAGCCACAAATCCTGAAGCAAATAGTTTCTTAACCAATACTTCCGCTTTGTGTGGGTTCGAGCCTCCACTGCGAACTTTGCGGCTAAAGGGGATCGGATGCAGAGTCACCCGCATCAGAGAAACTACAGAACTGGATTCCTTGGACCAGTGGGTGTTTCCGAAGCCCTGAGACGCGAGGTTGTCACAGATCCTTCATCTTCCCGTGATAAAGACGACCTTTTTTTTGTGCCAGGCATTTCGAGACAGCAGTGGAAGCCTCACCGTCAGGACGATCGTTGCCCTGGTGACGTTGCTGTCAATAGAGCATATGCTGCATAGAACACACCGGCTGAAACGACAATGGGGTATCCCCGTGATAAGAACCTTGTCGAAGAATCCCATCTTGATCCGCGCTCGCTCACAAGGTGAGCCGCACAATCCTCGTCACCACGGAGGAAGCTCTCATCGGCGCAGCTGCTTGGTGAAGCTTGTAAGTCCACCTGAATCCTTAGTCTTTCAGTCAGACAAGATGGCAAGAACGCACTCGTCCCATGGCTTCTGAAGTCTAACATCCCATAAGTGCTGCGTCGCCGGCTTGAGCCGCCAAGGAGAAGTTCCCGGATCCGGAACTCGGTGTGCCTAATCCCGGGCATGGAGGCGACGAGGGGCTAGAGCCAGTTCCGACAGACTGAGCTTCGCTCGAGACGCATCAGCCGTGTCCAGAACCCGTGACCCAAAACAAAACATAGAACAGCAAGTTGCCATGAAACGCAGAATTAAAGTTACGTAGTAACTACAGTAGTATCACAGGTCAGCAGCAACTACCAACACCCACACCAGCACCGTGGCATCTTAAACCACAACGCAACTGACAACTGCCGTCGCAGCCACCAACTCCACTCGGCACCGCCAGCGGACCACTGCGCCGATCGGGCCGAGCTTGATTTCTGGTCATCGGGGGCAACCGACGACCATCATCATCATCATCATCATCACCCTCATCGCCATCGCCATCGTCACTTCATTCTCGCCATCATTACACTAACCATCGTCACGGTCACCTTCATCTTCGTCCACTTCGTCGTGATGACCGTGATGACTTTGATGAGTCTGTCTGCTAGATGCTGCGCCAGGAGAGTGGTTCGGCTTCCACATGCTGGCGGCAGGCTCCTCCTTCGTGCACCTGGGCTGCCCGAATGTTGGCCAATGAAAAGCATGGCTAGACAGGGAGTTGTCGAGTGTCTGGCAACGTAATTTATGGGGAAGCAAGAAGGTGACTTTCGTTTCGGCTTCTGGTGGGCTCAGCCACAGACCGACTGCCGCAAAGCAAAGAGAAGGTCCACATCGGGTTATAAATGGGGTCATAGGCCCCCTAATATGGGTTATAACTATAGTTACCTTACTTATAACCCCACTTATAACTACCCATGAACCTCCAAGTATGCATCACTTTGCTAGGTCGATGTCCTGGGTCCAACTTGACCGGGGAGGACAGGATGGCATAACAGCAGATACTCGCCGCTTGGCCAGGATTGTGGGGGCTTCTTGCGCAATTTCGGAGTCGCTCGAAGGGCTTTCTAGCACTTCAAAGCAAAAGCTTCAAGACTGAAACCTCCACAGCTGTAAAGATCGTTGAGCAGGCGAGAACAGTCTAGCATGTGACAGGGCACGGGAGTGGGACGTTTGTCGGCAAGCGGGAGGATTGAGTATTCAAGCTTCTTTTCAAGTCAGGCAGAAGGAGACATAGCTCAGTCTGTGCCAGCAATTAAGCTTGCATAGTTTGCAGTCATTGTGTCACTGCCTCGAGATTCAGAATTAGACACCCGAGGTTCCATTTACCCCTCTCGCCAAGGCTTTCCTGCCCTTCAGTTCTATCATCCGCAGAACTACTTCGGTCCGGGGCTCGGGCATCTACCTTACCACCAGCAATTGTGGCAGTCGCTGCGGCAGATAATTTTACTCATCGCCGGAATCGTCGTCGTAGTGGTAGTAGAGGTCACATTGGTTGCGGCGGTGGGTGGTGGTGGTGGTGG